ATTTGACGTGCGCTTTCAGGTCCCTCTGGGTTGTTTCTGGGAAAATACCATCCTGCTGCACCCTGTTCTATCCTTTCACAGCCAGAATGCACTATAGCATTCAGGACTCAGTGAGGCCTGGATCTAGCAGGATTATCGCTCCTGCTTTCTTTGTTGTTAATCTGAATCCCTGTTTGTGCACCAGAAAAGCAACCATATGTTTCATTCTCTTTGTGAGTCAGATAGCTAGGGGGCTATCACAGGATCTATTCCACTGATGCATGGCCTGACATTTGACTTCCCTATTGTGTCCCTAATTTCTGTTTTCAAAGCCTATGTAATTATTTATATGTTCTTTTGTTGTTTGTTTTGTTTTGAATTGCTTACAGAAACATAGTGCAATATTAATTTTACAAAGGATTAGAAGCAATGCCAGGAATCATCAAAAGGAATCCCTCCACCTTCTAAGGTGACTGAAAGCAAATGGGAAACCTGTCTCACATTCCAATCCTGGAGCAGATTCTGCTACCCTTACTCAATTATTATTACTTGTATTGCAGTAGCATCTAGGGTCATGGACTAGGACCCCACTGTGCTAGGTGCTGCAGTCCTATTGACTTCAGCAGGGCTGCTCACAGACTAAGGTACTACCATCGTGAGTAGGGGTGGCGGAATTTGGTCCTTTGTGACATTAAAATTAATACCTTACTAAATGATCTTAAATCATGGCCCACGGACTACAGCTTAGTGGCTTTTTACTAAGTAACAGTACAGTAATAGTACGTTACTGGCTTTTCTCCTTGTTTCGAGCTTGTAAATTGCATAAAAAGACAGATCCAAATAAATTAATACTTTCCAAATATGACTTTCCCTAGAGATCTTATGCCACCACAACTGGCAGAGATGGAGGATCATGGATGGGATGGAAGATGGGTCCAGGAGATAATCTACTGCATTGCGGGTCTTGCTCTGAAAAAGTTTGAGAGCTAATATGTTGTTAGGTTAATATGATTCTATTCTTAACAGAATTTTGCAGATGCCTTTAATTCATAATTACTGTAACTTGTATTGATTCTTTTTTTGGGGGGGTGGGGGGCATATCATCTCCATGTCCTCCACGGCTCTGTACTGGATAGAATCAGAACTGATCAACGGTTTGTCATAGGCTCCATGCTACTGACAGCTAATGATAGGTGATAGATACCAGTGTTTGTGGAGCAGGACGATCTGGGTCCTATCTCTGCTGTTGCCATGAAGTTCCCAGTGGCCCCGGTGTGCAGCATGGTGACAACTATAGAGCCCTAAGTGAGCACTGATTTGTTGCAATATTTGATTTTAGTACGGGTGAAGGATGTTTCAAGCTCCCCAAATTAAAAAACATAGTAAGAGGACCAAAAAAGTGCCTCTGTGGCTAAACAACAAAGTCAAAGAAGCACTGAGAGGCAAAAAGGCGTCCTTTAAAAAGTGGAAGGTAAATCCTAGTGAGGAAAACAGAAAGGAGCATAAACTCTGGCAAGTGAAGTGTAAATATATAATTAGAAAGGCCAAAAAAGAATTTGAAGAAGAGCTAGCCAAAGACTCAAAAAGTAACAGCAAAAAAATGTTTAAGTCCATCAGAAGCAGGAAGCCTGCTCAACAACCAGTGGAGCCACTGGGTGATTGAGATGCTAAAGGAGCACTCAAGGGGGGTAAGGCCCTTGCGGAGAAACTAAATGAATGCTTTGCATCCATCTTCACAGCTGAGGATGTGAGGGAGATTCTCCATCCTGAGCCATTCTTTTTAGGTGACAAATCTGAGGAACTGTCCCAGATTGAGGTGTCATTAGAGGAGGTTTTGGAACAAACTGATATATTAAACAGTAATAAGTCACTAGGACTAGATGGGATTCACCCAAGAGTTCTAAAGGAACTCAAATGTGAAATTGCAAAACTACTAACTGTGATATGTAACCTATCATTTAAATCAGCTTCTGTCCCAGATGACTGGAGGAGAGCTAATGTGACGCCAATTTTTTAAAAAGACTTCAGAGGTGATCCAAGCAGTACCGGACAAATTGATTGAAACTATAGTAAAGAACAGAATTATCAGACACACAGATGAACACAGTTTGTTGGAGAAGAGTCAACATGTTTTTTGTAAAGAGAAATCATGCCTAACCAATCTACTAGAAATCTTTGAGGAGGTCAACAAGCATGTGGACAAGGGTGATCCGGTGGATATAGTGTACTTAGATTTTCAGAAAGCCTTTGACAAGGTCCCTCACCAAAGGCTCGTAAACAAAGTAAGCTGTCATGGGATACGAGGGAAAGTCCTCTTGTAGATCAGTAACTGGTTAAAAGATAGGAAACAAAGGGTAGGAATAAACCATCAGTTTTCAGAATGGAGAGAGGTAAATAGTGGTGTCCCCCAGGGGTCTATACTGTGACCAATACTGTTTAATATATTCATAAATGATTTGGAAAAAGGGGTAAACAGTGAGGTGGCAAAAAGAAAAGGAGTACTTGTGGCACCTTAGAGACTAACCAATTTATTTGAGCATAAGCTTTCGTGAGCTACAGCTCACTTCGTCGGATGCATACTGTGGAAAATACAGAAGATGTTTTTATACACACAAATCATGAAAAAATGGGTGTTTTATCACTACAAAAGGTTTTCTCTCCCCCCACCCCACTCTCCTGCTGATAATAGCTTATGTAAAGTGATCACTCTAAGGAGAGTGCCACAAGTACTCCTTTTCTTTTTGCGAATACAGACTAACACGGCTGTTACTCTGAAACCAGTGAGGTGGCAAAATTTTCTGATGATGATATAAAGCTACTCCAGATAGTTAAGTCCAAAGCACGCTGTGAAGAGTTACAAAGGGATCTCACAAAACTGGGTGACTGGGCAGCAAAACGGCAGATGAAATTCAAAGTTGATAAATGCAAAATAATGCACATTGGAAAACATAATCCCAACTACACATAACAATCATGGCTGTTACCATTCAAGAAAGAGATCTTGGAGTGATTGTGGATAGTTCTCTGAAAACATCCACTCAATGTGCAGCAGCAGCCAGAAAAACTAATAGAATGTTGGGAATCATTAGGAAAGGGATAGATAATAAGACAGAAAATATCATATTGCCTCTATATAAATCCATGGTACGCCCACTTCTTGAATACTGCGTGCAGATCTGGTTGCCCTATATCAAGAAAGATATTTTGGAATTAGAAAAGGTACAGAAAAGGGCAACAAAAATGATAAGGGGATGGAACAGCTTCCATATGAGGAGAGATTAATAAGACTGCGACTTTTCAGTTTGGAAAAGACACAATAACTATGATAGAAGTCTATAAAATCATGACTGGTGTGGAGAAAGTAAGAAGTGTTATTTACTTCTTCTCCTAACACAAGAACTAGGGGTCACCAAATAAAATTAACAGGCAGCAGGTTTAAAACAAACAAAAGGAAGTATTTCTTCACACAACGCACAGTCTACCTGTGGAACTCCTTGCCAGAGGATGTTGTGAAGGCCAAGACTATAGCAAGGTTCAAGAAAGAACTAGATAAATTCATGAAGGAGGGGTCCATCAATGGGGATTAGCAGGATGGGCAGGGACGATGCCCCGAGACTCTGTTTGCCAGCAGCAGCTCATTCCTTCTGAAGCACCTGGCATTGGCCACTGTCAGAAGACAGGATACTGGGCTAATTGGACATTTGGTCTGACCCTGTATAGCCATTCTTATGTTCTCCTCGGAGAAGAACTGTCATTTTCCAATTGTCTCTAGGGTGCCTTGTGCCCCTCTGGGGCAGTATGAAAACAAACATAAAAAAGGGTCAACTCAGACCCAAGTAAAATAGCTGTCAACTGGGTGCATATAGATTTGGAGAAATCATCTGAAAACTAGGAGGAGAAAGAAATGGGGAGAGAGTAACTTGCTCCTTAACAAAAGGTGACAAAAGCCCATTTGACAAGACCCAGGGAAATAAAGGATGCACTAAGACAGGCTGAATGTTGCAAAGTAGCAGTGGTGAGATTCCAGTGTCTGTTGTTACCAATAAATAATTGTCACAAATTACCATATAATAAGAAAGGATTGTAGGAACAACACACAAATTGCCAATAAGCCCCAACGGAGTCAGACAACCACATACACAAAGCCTGTCAGTAAGGTTAATGTGGTTACCTAATCTAACAAAAGTCAGGCAATTTAAATAACAGACTGACACAACATCCCAGGTCAACACTTATCAAACAGAAGGCTTCAAGACAAAGGTGTCCTATCACATTTGTATTGTGTCGTTTTTGACATTGCATAGTTCTGGTGCAATTAGGGTGGACCAGATGTCCTGATTTTATAGGGACAGTCCCGATATTTGGGCCTTTTTTTTGTATGGGCTCCTATTACCCCCCCAACCCCATCCTCATTTTTCACACTTGCTATCTGGTCATCCTAGGTGTAATACCAAACATGGGTGATAAAAGAAAAGGAGGACTTGTGCCACCTTAGAGACTAACCAATTTATTTGAGCATAAGCTTTCATGAGCTACAGCTCACTTCAGTGGATGCATGGGTGATAAACAGGTTTCTAACCTGGCACCATCCACACTACTGAATAGTGACCACATGAGCTGAAAAAGCAATTCTAGGAGCAGTAGTAGGCAGTTCTATGTGTAGACAAGCCCCCTGGGAAAGGGTAACAGGATGCTTTGCCAGTGGGTTACCATATTACAATGCAATTGTCACCATGCTGTGACAAGATGACATTGCAGGGACCCCAAAGGGATTTCAGCCCTGCTTTAAATGTCCTGCTGACCCATCAGAATCAGAAATAAGGCAATCCTGCTTGTCCCACTGAGTTCAGATGTTATGCAGCTCCAGAAAATCACATTTTTCCTGTGTTTCATTTGGGAGGTGATAGCTGTTTAGCTTGTAATTGTTAATTGTCAATTAGATCTTTAATTGGGGAGCAGCATTTTAATTGTGGAAGGAGGACAGGGCTGGGAGTCAACAATACCTTAATTCTAACCCCAGCTCTGCCACTGATTTCCGCTATGTAACTGTGGGCAAGTCACTTAAACTTTTTCTGCCCTTCCTGTACTGTGAGGATAATAACTATTTCTCTCCCTGACAAGGGCTTTGTGGAGAATTAATGAGCTGATGTTTGTGCAGCCTTTCCCGGGGGAGGGGGGAACTAAGCGTTAATTAGATTGTTTTATCCTCAGGTTTTAACTTTCTTTTCAGTCCTCAGCTGGCCACAACTGCTGTAGGTGCCCCAGCTACAACAGTACTCACGTGAAAAGTAAAACAAATGCGCCTCCTTGCCTTTGTGGTAGGGAAAAGCCCCTCACTGCAAAGCCATGTGCAGGACGCATGGGGGAAGCTGGGGGAGAGGTTACCAATAACTTTGCACGTTCCCCGCGTGGGCAGAGAAGGGCCGCTTCTGGGTGACCGAAGTGGCGACAATGGAGAAGCCCGTTGGATGGAAATCTCGCTTCATTACAACAAGCTGCAAGCAACAAACCCGGGAAAGTTGCTGCTTAGCCCTGTAATCATGTATTGCGCAACAGGCAGGGTTTAAGGGCGACTTCCCTCCGCCCGGGAACCTCCGGATTTTGTGGCACGCCGCTTCAGCAAGCGGTTCGGGTTTACACGGCTCTCAAAGGCTTGGACCCGTCGCGGCGGTCTTTGTTGTACAGGACATCTAGGAGCTGCCTCATGAGGCTTCTCCCCCACCCCTCTTTTTCTGACCGTCCTCCTTAAGAAGGTCCCAGGAGGCAGAAAGTGGAGCCCGGTGGCTTGTTCTTAGATGGAGGGAAGCGTTTCGCGGAGTAACGCTGACATCCAGGAAATGAGTAAGACCGAAAGCGAGCAAAGCCGGCGCTGCTAGCCCCGCGGTGAAAACGGGGAGCATGAGGCTCGGAAGAAAGGAAGACGCCCTGGGAAGCCTTTGTCCGGCGCCTCGGCGGGTGGCTCCGTGAGCACCCGTGTGCACGTTCACCAAGCGGAGCGAGAGGGAGCCGCCGCTTGCAAAGGCGCCCCGGCGCAGTAAGTCAAGAGCCGGCCGCCGGCTCTGGGTGCGGGGGAGGCAGGGGTCCCGCTCGTCCTCCATCTTCGGGGATGCGGAGTGAGTTCCTTTCCTTCTAACGCTCCTTCTGCCCTGGAGCTCGCCGGGCTGCGGGCCAGCGAACAGCCCCCTTTGCCCCCGCACCCGAGCGGCAGGAGCGCGGCCGGGCTCCGGGGGGGTTAAGTCGGCGTGCGCCTCGTCCCGGCAGAGTAGGGGGGTTCCGGAGCCTGGGCGGTGGACGGAGAGTGGGGAAGCTGGCTGCGCTGGCTTGCCTGACGCTGTCCCATGGTGCGAGGGTCTGTGTCAAAAAGAGCTGCACAATTCGGAGCGGCACAATCCCTGTTCTGTTTGCTGGCCCGAGCCCGAGCTGTTCTTTCACGTGGGGTAAACAGGCCCGCGAATGATCCCCTGCAGGGCCACTGATCGCTGGCACATCCCGACGTTGTAACCGAAGTTTTCAACACCAGCCTGCGTTTGCATAGATTTTCCTTCCGCATCTGTTGACATGCCTGCATTGTGTCATTCTCTTTGAAAGCAAGGAGTGAATTGCTTGTCTGAGGTGGGGACAGAGAATGAGAATAAGATGGGGGAGAAACCCTAGCTTAGTGGAGACTTCCTTCTTTTAAAAAATAACACCAGTTTCTGTAAAAAGAACAGGAGGACTTGTGGCACCTTTGAGACTAACAAATTTATTAGTGCATAAGCTTTTGTGAGCAGCATTCATCGGATGCATAGAATGGAACACTTAGTAATATATATATATATACACACACACACACACACACACACACACAGATAAGTTGGAAGTTACCATACAAACTGTGAGAGGCTGCTCTCATAAATGTTAGGCTGTAAGGTGCCGCATGTACTCCTGTTCTTTTTGTGGATACAGACTAACAGGGCTGCTACTCTGAAACCAGTTTCTGGACATTTCTTAATCCTCAGATACTCCCTGAAAGGCCTACACACTGGAAAAGGTTTCCTGGTGTAGCTATACTTGTTCACACTAGGGTTTTTGCCTCTGCTGAAACTTCTTTTAAAAAAAAAAAAAAAAAAATCACATCACTAACAACAAAAGTTTCCAGGGTAGCCTGGCCTGGGGGTCTTTTCTCCTTTGAGCCACAGGGTCAAAAGTTAAACACAGTGTTTAAAGTTAAGCATGCATGTGAGTACTCCCACCCACTGATATCACCCGGACAGACTCAGAGTGCATAAAGTGAAGAACTCCTGTAAGTCTTTGCACAGTAAAGGCCCCAGCATAGAAAACCTAATCATCTGCCCCTCTTCTTCTGCACCAAAGATACAAGGGATCCTTAGCTTACAGATAGAAAAGGAGGACTTGTGGCACCTTAGAGACTGACAAATTTATTTGAGCATAAGCTTTCTTGAGCTACAGCTCACTTCATCGGATGCATGCAGTAGAAAATACAGTGGGGAGATTTTATATACACAGAGAACATGAAACAATGGGTGTTATCATACACATTGTAACAAGAGTGATAAGGTAAGGTGAGCTATTACCAGCGGGGGGACGAGGGGGGAACCATTGTTTCATGTTCTCTGTGTATATAAAATCTCCCCACTGTATTTTCTACTGCATGCATCCGATGAAGTGAGCTGTAGCTCAAGAAAGCTTATGCTCAAATAAATTTGTTAGTCTCTAAGGTGCCACAAGTACTCCTCTTCTTTTTGCAGATACAGACTAACACGGCTTCTACTCTGAAACTTAGCTTACAGATGTTGTTCGTGAAATAACCAGTGTGGAATGCATGTTACACAAGCTTCATCTCTGGCTTAAAATGACACATGGCTGCCTTGGGTTTTAATGCTAACACAGCCAAACTGAACCTAACGTAAATGTTGACAAGTGAGGGCTGCATTTTTATAAAAACGTTACTATTTCTCTTGTATGTGTGTTTATCTCTTCCTAAAATAGCCTGGTTCCGATTTGCCTCTCATACCGGTGCAAATCAGGAACAGCTCCACTGGAAGTCACTCGTGGTAAAACCAGTGACCAAGGAGAGTCAGGACTCCAGTGGACTTTCCTACACTAGCATTGGGTCTGGAATCTTCCACTGGTGTTGCTTCCCTGGTGGTAGTAATTGTGGAAGTTCTAGTGTAAACAGGACTCTGGTATTTACTTGGAGAGTGGTCAGTTTAGATGAGCTATTACCAGCAGGAGAGTGAGTTTGTGTGTGTATGGGGGTGTGGGGGATGTGAGAAAACCTGGATGTATGCAGGAAATAGCCTGACTTGATTATGTAAAGAGTTGTCACTTTGGATGGGCTAGCACCAGCAGGAGAGTGAATTTGTGTGGGGGGGGTGGAGGGTGAGAAAACCTGGATTTGTGCTGGAAATGGCCCACCTGATGATCACTTTAGATAAGCTATTACCAGCAGGACAGTGGGGTGGGAGGAGGTATTGTTTCATGGTCTCTGTGTGTATATAAAGTCTGCTGCAGTTTCCACGGTATACATCTGATGAAGTGAGCTGTAGCTCACGAAAGCTCATGCTCAAATAAATTGGTTAGTCTCTAAGGTGCTACAAGTCCTCCTTTTCTTTTTGCGAATACAGACTAACACGGCTGTTACTCTGAAACCTGGTATTTACTGGCATTCTTACCACTAGGCTATCTGCGTTCACTCTGGGGTGTGTTAGACAGCCTGCCGTAAAAATGCTAGTGCTGTCTCTACACTAGTGCAATAAAAGTAGTGTAGACAGAAACTGTCTGGAGTGTCTTCTTCAGCCACTCTGTCATGACAGCTGTTTGCACTGACTTATTGAGAGCATGAAGGTAAACACAGGGCCACTGATCTATCAGATGGAGCAGCACTTTGTATGTGCACCCACCCACCACAGCTTGTTTTGAATGATCTTGGGACTGCTTTAATGTCAGATGCCAGTGAAGCACTGCATTATTGCAGCTGTTACTATTGAAACACTGTCCACTGGTATGAACTCTTTGATTTACAAATGACTGGTCCAGATTTTCCTTTAGCTCCTTGCAATGTTTGAGAGCAGCTTCTCCAATACTTGAGTGGAAACGGATCATGAAAACAGGGAATGGAACCTTGAACTCCACCTTCTTTAACATATGGGACTTAGTGTGTTTCATCTTCAAAGCACTTAACTAACCCTCACAATATTCCCAGGTGGGTAATAAACTCAATAACTATGAGCACCACAGAGAAGTGAATGATTTGTCCAAGGTCAGAGAGTGAGTCAGTGTCAGCATTGGGATCAGCCACTGGGGATTCCTGGATCCTCGTCTTGTGCTCTTGCCACCAGATCAAACCCATGTGCTTGAGTAAAAGTGTTTGGAACGCTTGTAAACAGGGATCGAATTGCGGGGTAAGGTGGGAGAAGGAAGAAATCAGTGGTATTATTCCAAGGTGTGCTCACAAAACAAGCTCTACCCCTTTAGCAAGAATCCTGTAGGTAGATCTTCCTCATATAACTGCCTCTGGACTTTCTTCCACGCTTTGAGTGGCAATGCAGTAGTTTAATCCGCCATCACTAGAACTCGGAGTTAACAACCCCTTATATAATGAACAAGGGCAGTTTGCACGTTCCTGAGCTGCTGTTTCAGGCTGTCTGCACACTCAAGCAGACTTCCCTATGTTTAACACTTTTGGTTCATATTTTGAAGGCTGTCTTCACAACTGTAGGGGATAGGGCATGCTGCCTCTTGTAATGCTAGTTAAATTATAACAGAGGAAAAACTAAACACAAGAGACTTGGGCCCAGATCCTCAAAGATACTTAGGCCAGGTCTACACTACAAACCTGTATCAGTATAACTGTGTCGCTCAGGAGTGTGAAAAATCCACACCCCTGAGCGTCGTAGTTATACGGACCTAACCCCCTGTGTGGATGAGCGAGCGTCTCCCATCGACATAGCTCTCGCCCCTCGGGGAGGTGGATTAACTACGCCCATGGGAGAAGCTGTCCTGTCAGCATAGAAGTGGCTTCCCCTAAGCGCTGCAGTAACACAACTGCACCCGCGTTGCTGCACCGCTGTAGTGCTCTATGTGAAGACGAGCCCGTACGCACCTAAGTCCTACTGATTAAAGTACCTAAATCCCTTCGAGGATCTGGGCCTTAAGACCGGGCTTTCAACGCTGCTGAGACTTTCAGTTCCAAATGAAGTCAACAGCAGGGGTGGATGTTCAGCAGCTCTGACAATCGGGACCCTAATTTGGGCTTTAAAGGAAAGCTTAGATTTTGCAGCACAAGACAGCAGCTGCCATAACGCAGAACCAGTTTGCTAAGCTGCTGTGAAACCAGCCCCTCTGTTTGTAGCTCCTGTGTCCCATCCCAAAAGGACCTCACTCATGAGAGGAATGTCCATGGGGAAGAGGTGCTGGTTCAACAGGTGGGTGACCTCCACACAAGCATTACTAATACTTCCAGTGATATAGCTTCCTGTCCTGCACTCCCTACTGCTCATGACTGGCTCCGCTGATCCAGGACTGGTTTCAGAGTAACAGCCATGTTAGTCTGTATCCGCAAAAAGAAAAGGAGGACTTGTGGCACCTTAGAGACTAACCAATTTATTTGAGCATGAGCTTTCGTGAGCTACAGCTCACTTCATCGGATGCATACTGTGGAAAGTGTAGAAGATCTTCTTATATACACACAAACCATGAAAAAATACCTCCTCCCACCCCACCCTCCTGCTGGTAATAGCTTATCTAAAGTGACCACTCTCCTTACAATGTGTATGATAATCAAAGTGGGCCATTTCCAGCACAAATCCAGGGTTTAACAGGAACGTCTCGGGGGGGAGGGGGTAGGAAAAAACAAGGGGAAATAGGTTACCTTGCATAATGACTTAGCCACTCCCAGTCTCTATTCAAGCCTGAGTTAATTGTATCCAATTTGCAAATGAATTCCAATTCAACAGTCTTTCGCTGGAGTCTGGATTTGAAGTTTTTTTGTTTTAATATTGCAACCTTTAGGTCTGAGATCGAGTGACCAGA